CTGCCGGCTCCCTGACCCCCCCGACGCACGCACGCACGCGGTGACGTAAGCGCGCACTTTCGCCGTTGGCCCCGCCCCTCTGACGGACTCTCCCTTTGACAGTGATTGAGCAGCTCCCAATGGACCTGCGGGACCGCTTCACCGAGATGCGGGAGATGGATCTGCAGGTGCAGAGTAAGTCCGCGGGCGGGACTTGCTGGCCGCCGCCGGCAGCGCTTCCTGCTGCATAACTTTCCTCTGGCTCACTCTCCTGTTACACAAGGACTTGTGAAAACGGATGGGTAGTGCGGAATCTCTCCTTTTCCTTTCCTCGCACACAACTTTTCTTCTAATCATTTTAAGAGATGGAGCCAGTAGGACATGTGCATTCCCTTTATCACTTGGGATTCTGCATAAAGACAAAAACGTAGATATGTTTTAGTGGACATCAACATGAAAGAGATTTTGACTCTAAGCCTGTTAAAGTTCATTCCATTCAAAATATTTCAAGAGTGAAAAACATAGAAGCACAGATTATATGTAGATCTTTAGAGACTTAAGTGAACTAGGACTGTCCAATTTTGAAAAGTTACAGGATATACTTCGAGTTGTCGACAGAATGGTAATTTTATCAAGCAAAATGAGTGAGCAAAGTGAGATTTTACTGTAAAGCTTATCTGCTGTAATAAAAAAAATTCACAAATACTGGGCTTTTCTTTTTCTTTCAGTGATAGCTAGACAGTCCAGTGACTTTTTCCCAAAAGTAAGCTGCACTTTCAAAGAGGGTGGGGCCACCTGGGGTAGCTAACTTGTTCATTCCATTCCTGTCTTCCTTTCTGCCCTGCCACCCTACCCACTTCTGTACCCTTAGTTTAGGAATATGCTTTTTTTTTCAGCTTCTTGTCAGTTTCATGTGTGATAAAATGAAAGGTGATATTCCATGGGAGCCACTTCCTTCAAGTCGGTGGGTTGTAGTGTGGAAGTCTGAATTGTTTGTGTGGTTTTGTAGCCAGCTCACAAAATCCACTTAAACTTCAATGCAGTTAACATGCAAAAGATTGCAGAAATAATGTTCTCTGTGGAGTGTAAGCACAGACTTGGATGTCAAATGTCTTAGTTTATTTTAGTGCTTTACTACTTTACTCCTTGATCTTGACTTCTGAAGGTTTTTTATTGTTATTGAAAAGAAAATCTTATAAAGATTAAAAATTACATAGATAAATTATATAATATCAAATACAATGTAGACATTACATAAAGGGTAGCTGATATTTTATGCTTTTTTATTATCATTGGAAATTATAAATTCTATTGTAATTTGGCTTAGATTATTTTAAAAAAAAATACAGGTTTTGAGGCCAGCAAGTGGCATGGTGGTTAAGGTGCTGGACTCCCACTTGGCTCACCGTGGTTCGGGTCCTGGACTGCAGCTTACTTTCTTATTTTCCCCCTTTCTCTCTGTGTCTCTGTCTGGTGAGTGCATATGGTCTACAGCAAATTAAAATAATAAATAAATAAATAATAATTCTAAAAAAATTTTTTAAAAAGAAAAATTACAGGTTTTAAGCTTGTAGTTTGTAAATTTACTGGGTACTATGGATTAACAGGAAAATCTGTGTGTGAAATAAATTAGGGAATGCTTACTTAAGCAGAGGAAAGTACATTTTAAAAATTTAACCATAAGATTTCCGAGCATCTTTAAGAAACTGTTATGCACTAACTGTCTCCAGAAGGATGTATTAGGTTGTTGGAAAAGTCACAATGTATTTTTTTCTATGATTTTCTATGCAAAAATGCCTCCTGACTTTTTCCGACAACCCAATAGTAAAAAGGTTTTCCTCAACTTACATAACAACAGAATCTCTTTTATTTTCTCCTTTTAGCTTATACCTGGTCAAGATAGTTATTCTTAGTATACACTTCAGGGAAAAAAACTTACTGAGAATAAATAGCATACTGTATTAAGTGAATAAATGATTGTACCTCCTATTGTTTTGATCTGAAATGACAAGATGCTTGATGCCATTTAGCCATTGGTTAAAATCTTTCATTTTCTTCATATTAAAAGAAATGTGAGGATTATCTAGTGGTACTTTCATTGTGTTTTGACCATTTGACTAATTTAATACCATTAGCTTTTGACCCTAAGACTGTACTATTCCAAAACAGTGGAATGTTTTTAATGTACATTGATGATTCTTTGGCTATTGAAAAAAGTTTTGAAATAACAAAAATAAATTGTCAGTAGGGATAATTATAACTTTTAAAAGTAAGGTAATTAAGGCATTATTTATTTATGGTTATCAAAGCATAACATACTTCATTTACTGGCCAAGTGAATGAGTATGTTGTCAGATTTTTTTCCTTTCCTTAAATCAAAGCCTGTATATTTGGTATATGAATTTAGTCATCTAAATACAAAATGTTTTTGCTATGTCACAGATGCAATGGATCAACTAGAACAAAGAGTCAGTGAATTCTTTATGAATGCAAAGAAAAATAAACCTGAATGGAGAGAAGAACAAATGGCATCCATCAAAAAAGTATGTGTACCACTTTGAATCATTCAGTACTGGGACCTTCTGAAAAAGAGATTTTAAAATGAAGCTGTTTTCTTGATACTATGATGGGGGAAAGTTGTCAGTGGCTCTTAAGAATTTACATAATTTATTGTGTCTTAGAGCTTTTGTATAGGTTTTATCAGTCGCTAAAGCATTTTTGTAATCGTTGGTAACCATTAGGTTGTTGGGAAAGTCACGATGTAGTTTTCTGTGTTTTTCTATGCAAAAATGCATCTGACTTTCTTAACTCAATATTAGAGAGTTACGGAACCGTTTTAGAAATACATTCATTTTTCTCTTACCTTGTTTTGTACTGTTAGTTACTTTGAGTAAAGTTACAGTACCTTTAGAAGTATGATACTGTAATCTGGTTGTGGCCACAAACTGGGATGGGTTAGTAGATCTTTACATGTATTTTATGTATTAATAAGTACCTAAGGTCGTGGGGCCAGAGATGACATGGTGATTAAGGGTGCTGGAGTCCCACATGGCAAAGCACAATTTTGAGTCCTGGACTTGGTGGCTTGCTTTCTCACTTTTCTCTCTCTCTCTCTGTCCCTTTCTGGCCAAACTAAAATAAGTAAATAAATAAAGTTAAATAAAATAATTCTTGAAAACAATTATTTAAAAAAAATAAATAAGTAACTTGGTTGACTCACAGAATAAGATCATAAAAGTTGAAAGGATCCTAAGAAAGTCTTTTAGTTTAAAGCTCCAGATTTGGGGACCAGCAGATGGCATAGTGGTGATGTCACTGAACTCCCACATGCCTGACTGCAGTTTGAGCCCCAAACCTGGTGACTTGAAACTCATGCCAGGTGTGCGTTTGTGTGTCTAAAATCCTGAGAGGAGAATGGAGGAGAAGGAATTTGTGGTGTGGCCATCCCCCTTGTGGGTGATTTCCCACTTTCTGTCTCTGTCTCTCTGGCATGTGTGTACACCCTATAGCAATAATCTCTCTCAAAAAAGTAAAACCTCCGGATTTGTCCATGAATTGGGTCTTGAAATACAGAATCCTTTAAGTTTTTATTAGTTTGATAATTCTCGTAGCTCTCTTTCAGATGAGAATGGGCCTCAGATCACACTCCCAGGTTTGCTCTGAAGGAGTGATTTGGTGTAGTCAGGGATATACGTGTTAGAAGAATGATGTAAGAGACTTGAGTACGGTCATGACACTGCCGTTTAGCCGTGTGAAGTTGGGCAGTCTTTTAATAATATCACTTAGTAATATCTGCTTACAACAGACCTTCACAGAATCATTCAAGGATCACATTAGAAAGAAATACGAAAACTACAAATTAAGTAGTTATATTATTTATTCTATCCCATGAAGGAAAGACTATTTGTGTTAGGAGAAAAAAAAAATTGGGGATCTGTAACAGAAGTGTTTCTGGCTTGGAAGATACCTGGAGGGTCGTATGTGGAGTATAGACGGCACAGAAATGGATGCCAAAGTCACTGATCATCACTTTAACCTATTAAGTTGTTGGTGTAGCACGATTTCAATATGCCCTGAAAAATACGGTACCCGATGGAGATACAAAGAAACTTTTTTTAAAAAATAATTTGCTTTCTACCAAGGGGAAGTTGAGTCGTATAAATTTATACCTAATTTAAAATGGAGATTATAGAGCATCTGGAAATATAAGGACATGCAGACCAGAATCCATTCAATATCTGTGTTTTTATAAAAAAGTTTTAAAAATGGAGTATCAATATGTATTATAAGTTAGATAAATCTTGATTAACCTTTTTTTTTCTTTTAAATACTATTTATTAGCTCACATAGCTTTTATATAGTATAAAGTATAGAAGCTAGGCTTGGAATAGTATTTATTTTTATTTATGTCTTTTCTAGGAATTCTGAAATTGTCCTTTAATTATTAGCCATTGTCCATACTTCCTCATCTTCCTTCATCCCTACTCTTTTCCTGACAGGCTGTTTATTGCAAATGTAAGATTAACTGACCATGATAACAAGGTACAATAATGAAAATGCAGTTGTATGTCCTGCGTATGCATGCTTTAATATTATTAATTTATTTTTGAAATGAAAATGTTTTTATTCAGGACTACTATAAAGCTTTGGAAGATGCAGATGAGAAGGTCCAGTTGGCAAACCAGATATATGACTTGGTAAGTAAAATTAATGTGCATGCTATCCCATAAGTGCTCAAGGTGTGGATTATACACTAAATTTTATTGTCTTAAATAAAATCGGAAGAACAATTACAGCCAAAGTAGTACTCTTTTCCCACTTAACTAGAAAGTTTTAGTTTATTCAAGAAAGAATTGTGTAGTCCACAGTATTATTGTGTAATAGGTTAAGATCCTTTTGACCAAGTTTACATTGTTCTAAGATTGTATCTTAGAACTGGTGTTTATGTGTTTATTTTACTCATTCTTATCTTCTTATAGAAGATAGTGAGTGAGTTTACTTGCCTGATACATCATTTTGAGATTGTTTCTATGGTAAAATACACAGGAGAGTACTGTGTTTACAGGAGTTCCTGGTGGTCTGATTGAAATAAAGAGAATCATTTGAATCAGTGTTTACCTAAGTCATTTTAATACATTATATTCAACAACCAGATCAGGTGGCAAAAATGTAAGAAATATAAGAAATACAAGATTCCATATGCTTTTTTAAAAAGTTCTTTTTTGCAAGCATACTTCTAAAATATTGAAATCATCCATTAGACAGATAAAATATCCAGTGATTCTTAACTCGATGCACTGTTTTATTTATTTATTATGTACTGTTTTATTTATTTATTTTTAATTTGCCAAAGGGTGTACACACTTGCTGGGAAGGGAGGGAGAGAGAGAGAGTAGCCCCCGTGGGGAATGGTCACACCACAATCCCTTCTCCTTTTTTATCTCCTTCCTTTCAGGATTTTTGGGAATGCACACACATGCATGCCTGGTGTGTTTCTCAGGCAGCTGAGTCTGGGATTTGAACCATATGGTTGGCTATATGGGATCCAGCTGCCTTAACCACTAAGCCATAGGCTAGCCCAGGTGCTCTTTTTATGTGAAGCATCTTCTCCTAGAATATATACTTTAGGAAATACATCTGTTTTTGCCTTAAAGTTAGTTAAATCAGAAAACAAGTGTTCACTTTTGTTTGACTCTAACATATAGGTTTCATACCTTTTTTTTAGCAGTCTTTTCTGTGTTCTTTTTTTTTTTTTTTTTTTTCTTGTATAGGGC